CTTCCTTCCTTCCTTCCTTCCTTCCTTCCTTCCTTCCTTCCTTCCTTAAGTCAGTATTTAAATCAGATATTTTATAAAATTTACAAAGTCACTTCACTATAATGTAATTATCGAAGATTTTCTTTATATGTTTCCTTGGGTATAAAATTATAGATAGGTAGAGACATTTTATTTAAATGATTCATTAAATATTTAAGAGAAGAATAATTATTTGAGGAGGGTGATAATTATAATATGGTTATGCATTTTAAACTGTATTTTATATTTTGAAGAAAATTCTGAAATATTTATGGGTTGTATGTTACACATACATGCATCACACACATATATGTACACACACACAAACACACACACACACACACACACACACACACACCATGACAGTTGAGAGAGAGTTGTGGAAGGTGTGTGTGGAACAGCTAATGTGGGAGAATGGTTGCTGGGCATATAGAGATTCATTTTTAGTGTCGTGTATACTAATCTCTATAGACTACTCTTGGAAATTTGTCAAACATTCTGTATTTGCCAAATATTATATTAATATTTGGATTTTAACAGTGTTTGGAATGATCCCTCATACAAAGTAGGCATGTAATATCTGTTTAATTATTAAAATAATCCAAATAAATGTAAACAATGTTTTGTGCTTTTATAGTCACAGTGTTATAGGAGTGGGACTGCTGGGACGGCAGGGAACACAGACGTCATTGAGGTGGATCAACTCCAGTGGACCGCCTCAGTAAATACAGCTGCAGCAGGCATGCCGCAGCCACCAGACATGTACCCTGACAAGGGAAGGTCCACTGGGAGGGTTAGCACATGTCTAGATGATAGCTCCTCTGACTTGCTAGACACAGTGCTGAAAACATCCATTCTCTGTTTTTGTTAATAACAGGAGAACAAGCAAACAGTATATTTAGACTTAAAACCTGACCTTGGTTCCAAAATTTCCAGAAAAATATTCTTGAACTACCTCTAAAGAAGGCTGTCTCAGGCTTCTAGACAAACAGGTAAGGTAGCCTTGAAGAGTCCCTGAGTGTAAGGGAGCTGGCTAGGATGACAGCTAGAGACAGGAGTGTGAGAACCTCTGGGCTCCTCTGTCCTCAGCAGGGCAGCTCCAACTGTAGGGAAGACAGCCTCCAGGCACAGAGCAACACCATTCACAAAGCCTCACCAAATGGGAGGTGCACCTGCTCTCTAAAGGTGATGGGGACCACTAGTGGAAACAGCAAGAAAAACCTGGGATGAATGAAAAGCACAACGTGTAAAATGAGAGTGCCAAGGAAATTCTGGCAGATGCTACACTTTCCTAAAAGTTATGGAAACAGACAGACAGCTCATGCGTACATGCACATACACACACACACGTACACACACAGACTGTTGTTGCTACAAATACATCTTCAGTATCAAAAGATAACACATCATACTTGGACTAGTTTGGCTTGGGGTAGTTTCTCTTTCCCACTTCCTTGTACCTTTCAGGGCGGAACTCCTCAGGCTCTGGCCAGCACATTGGGTCTTTGTGGAGAGCAAAGGTTGGTACCATCACCACAGTCCCTTTGGGAATGAACACTCCATTGATCTCGACATCTTTCTTACAGAGCCTCTCAAGTCTGCCTCCAACTGGATATAATCTGAGAGTTTCATTCACCACCATGTCTAGATACTCCATCTGTAGCAGGACATCATAGGTAGCAGGTGCCTGGAGGGGTGGGAAGGGAGAGGGAGGGAGTGAAAGGAGAGGGAGAGGGACAGAGATTTATAAATTAGTATTTTGAATTAATTTTCATCTATGGAGTTTCACTGTGGACTTTGGAGAGCTGCTACACCCTCTCCAGTGTCGTCAGTGTAGCATATCAATAGATTGTGCTACTAGACGGGAGATACGTTTTCTTTGGAAATAAGCTCCCTGGAGGTCACTGGCAAGAACCCTAACATGGCCACCTAAGCCAAAAAGACGAATTCTGAGAGTCCCACGCTTACTCAGTTGCAAGAGTGGATTGATGAGCTTTTTTGCTGTTTCTCTAGGATTCTTAGAACAGCACAGTTAACTATTCAAGGAAACACATTTCTGATAGATTACTAAAAGCTTTAGCAAATAAGAGTGGAAGAAAAATAAAATTTTAGGACAGGCAATAAATCAGATTCAGCATCAGGAATTGCTTGTGGAAAAAACAAACACTGTAGGTAATAAAGGGACAAGAGTTTTAGGGCTTTCTAAAGAAAATATTTAATCAGGATCTGTTAGGATAAATGCTCTGGATATTCCCACTGCAGTAAAACTACTACAAAACCATTATCAAACACAGGTGTTTATGATGAGGCAGAAAGAAGATAGGCAAACATAGGAGGTCAGAAGGTTTTATATTATACTATGAGTTTTATGGACAGACTGGCTCGAGCGTCTTATCTCTAAGGAAAGATTGTAAATCCTTAGCAAGACAAACAGGAGTAATTCCTCCTGATGCTTATCTCTAGGGAGAATTGTAAATCTTTAGCCGACTTAGCTCCGAGGACTATTAACAGTCCCTGGCCCTCTACTCACTAAATTAGCAGCAATAAAGCTGCGTAAATAGTCACTAGTTCTATGTTTGCTCTGCTTAAAAGGCTTTTAGGCCAAGATTTTTTGTAGACACTGCCTTTTACCAGATCGCCTTTCAGTTAAAATATAAACTTTGTAAATGATCCAGGAAATATGTCAACTTCAGTTGCTTCTATATGTATTCACTATAAAAGTGTTGGCTTGACTTCAATAAAACGCAGCAGATTCAAAACACTACTTGGTGTGGTCTCTGACTGTCAGTCAATTTGCCTACCTGTGCCTAACCTGAAAATCCAAACACCTGATTTTCCTGCGGGTGTGGGACCGACTGGGCTGGTCCGAGGCAGAGAGCCACAGAGTAACTCCCGTTGATAAAGACCCTTAGCCTCCACAAGGCATTTGAAGAACTCACAGTCTTCAGCCTGTTCAATATCCCATGGGGGGGCAACCTTTCAGGATAACCTGGAACCCAGGCTCAACATCACCATGGAACACTTTTTCCTTATCATGTCAGGAACCATTACAGTTAGAGTTACTTTCCACATCTGCATCAAAGACTACAAATGTAAATGAGAACTAATCTTTAAAAAAAACCCTTTCTTTTTATTTATGTGTATGCATTTGTGTAGAGGTTTGTGCATGGGAATTCACGTGCTCTGGGGTGGGGGGGGCAGAAGAGGGTTTCAGAGCCTCTAGAACTATAGCTGCACATGGTTGTGAGCATCCTGATGTAGGTGTCAGGAACGGAACTCGAGTCCTCTGAAACAACGGCCAAACTTTAATTGATGAGCCATCTTTCCAGTCTGAAAGAAAATCCCTTTCTTATTTAGTTGCAAATATCTTGCACGGTCATTCTTTTTATTATATATGGAATTTAGAAACATTAGACCAGATAAAAATAGCTACTACCATTCATTAAAGAAGCCCCTCTTTACATCAACATCAGAGACCATCTCAGGAAAGCACATCTGGACACAGTACAGAGATCAGCGGATCATGGGAGCTCAGCACCAGCAGATGGATGTCTATTACAACTCCTGCACTTACAGCTCAGGAACATGAGGAAGAGGAGGTTGAAAGCTTGTAAGTAGGAGTCTGCTGTGAAACAGCCTCTCTTAAAAATGAGAAAGAACAAGACAGTGACAATATTAATGGACATGTTAATGCACAAGGAGACAATTTCACATGGTCCCACTCCTAGATAAAGAACTTCAGGCAAGCAATGACTGCTGTAAGAGGGAGAACTAGCCTCTCTCAGGGATAAGCCTTTGTATTGGCTGCCCCTCAGAGTGGTCAGCCTTGAAAACACATGTACACGAACAACAAAAATGGACTCAGCAGGAAGTGTGTGTTTGTATGCACACACATACATACAAACATATACATATATTTAGGTAACAATAGTAATCAAAAGGAGTTATCGACTTGTGAGTGAGGGGATGGGAGAGGTTTGAGGCATAGGCTGGAGGGAAGAAAGGGAAGAAGGAAAGTGATGTAGTTCTATTTCAGTTAAACATTTTAAATTTAACTAAAAGCGATTTGAGGAGGTACTAGTAGTCTCTTATATACTAACGATACTAAAGTCACTGCTATCAAAACGTTCAATTTCAACCCTGGTAAAAGCCGCAATGAGAACAGCCTCCATCACTCAGCCCTGTCCTCTGCTTCTGGCTCTGCCTGCTGGTTGTCCTTCAGGGCTTTCCTGTGAGCTCTGAAGAGAATGACAAGGCAGCCAGGCCACTCCGTAAGCCAGGTAACCGCACACCGCACAGCTCCCTGGTTTGGGTAGAGGTGTAAAGACTGCTGTGACTATTACTTTATGGGATTTTTGGAAAGATCTTGATTTAGGGTTAAGAGCACCACTCAGGGTCCCCAATGAGCAGAGAGAGCTGTGTGGGGCGGTGCTAAGTCAATCTGCCTAGCCCAGCCAGCCGTGGCCAGTCCCACTCAGCCAGCAGAAGGCAACGGCGCAGCACATGGCCTCCACACAGACTATCCAGACACTTTACTAACCAATGCTTGCACCTCTATGCCACCGTGATTTTGTGATTGCTTCTTGGTAGTTTTTTGGTGACAGACAATGAATAAATATATGCCAACATTCATCTACAAAGATGCTATTTTCATAAAGAAACAGCATATAGTGTCTGTTTCCCATTAATTTCTTCTTTCAGAGCCTTCTTAGGTAAAGATGGCAAAAGATCAATGCTTGTAACTTTGTTGAAAGATGGTCGGGACAAGGAGCCGTGAATGCATGTCAGAGCTTCTTCCCACTATGCCCTGTAGGTCCCTTCCCTCACCTTATTGGGAAGAGCGGCATCAATTTTATCCTGCAGCTTCTTCTGGACATCAGGGTGTGTGGCCAGCAAATACATAGCAAAGGAAAGGGCACTGCTGGTGGTCTCATACCCAGCAAAAATAAAGAAAATCGACTGAGCCACAATCTCCAGATCAGATAAACCTGAAGGGAAAGGAAGTACATTTTATTTCATTTATTTTTACATGGATGGATGGATGGATGGGAGGATGGACATGTAAACTCCAGCATGCCAAAGTATGTGTTTAGTAGTCAGAGGAAAACTTGCAAGAGTGTTTTCTTTCTTTCTTTCTTTCTTTCTTTCTTTCTTTCTTTCTTTCTTTCTTTCTTTCTTTCTTTCTTT